TTGGCTTGGGCTTCCTGTGGTATGGAAACACTAAAGACCTCTATTGTATATAAAGGAAAAGATTGTCATTCTTACACCTTAAAGCATCATAACAGTTTAGTTCAATACTGCTCCCTGCTATAATTTTAGGGAGATCGAACCAAGAATACATGTATTTMTATGAAGACATTCCCAGACCTACCTGATACAAGCGTCACAGGACCTTCAATGTTAGAAAGGTTTTGTCGAGTAAAGTTCTTTAACAACGAGTTAATAAGAGTTGTTTTTCCCACCTTTGGGGGACCAACTATAGCCACGATAATCGGAGGAGGCTCAAGAGGAGTCCTGTCTACTACAGGAACATGATGCTTCTTGGTTTCAATGTCTTTCGCACGCCGAAACTGTTTTGCCGCTTTTACGACTGAATGAAAYGTAAATGCCTTTGCGTTTCGTCGCGAGTCTGTCTTGTCTTCTTTTCCTTCATCCTTCTTCTTTTTCTTCACGGCTTTTGGACCCGATTGCTTGGGTCTGTGAGCTTTTCCTGCGACATTCTCTTCGTCCGCCATGTTGGTTTATCCCACGTGTGGAAAAATCTCCCAGGCGTTTTATCAAACAACACAAACAASTTYTAACGGGGGAGGGGTAAGTAAAGATAAACTTTTAAAACATCCTTATTCTATAATTTCTTACCAATTATGCCCTTTCAATRCATTTTTYGYTTTRAACAWATRTTTTTAATCAAAAGCTAAATTGATAGAGAAAACTTGCGTTCTTTCGTTTTCATTATTTTAAAAATTGTAATCCAAAACTCTACCCCTCCCTAGAAAGAAAGTTATGTGACATYCTTCAAAGTGCCTGGTCACTCATTCCTCGTGGTATTCCAAGATGGCGGGCGTCTTGTTCGAAGATATTTTTGACGTTAAAGACATCGATCCAGATGGGAAAAAGTTTGATAGAGGTAATTCAAATAAGATTTTAAGCACATCTGTAAGGTTCATAAGTTTTATGACGGAGGTGRCCATTAGATTTTAGTCATAACACAAAGAAAATCATCTTTGTGCATAATGCACAAAGATGATTWTCTTTATTTCCAATGATATAACATTTAGAAGATTCGAATATTACTTTTCAGTTTCAAGACTTCACTGTGAGAGTGAGAGCTTCAAGATGGATCTAATTTTAGACATCAAYAGCCAAATTTACCCCGTAGAACTTGGGGACAAGTTTCGATTGGTTTTGGCCAGCACTTTGAAGGAAGATGGCACCCCTGATGATGGTGAATTCACGCCAACAGATTCTGTCCCTTCAAGAGCAGATCAGTTTGAGTATGTTATGTATGGAAAGGTTTATAGAATTGAAGGAGATGAAGGACCAGAACCGGCTACAAGATTGTAAGTTGTAAATCCAATTAGATTAGATTAGAAGTTGTAAATTTTGTATACATGCATGCCTCGACTTTACATCTGTATACCTACTTGTCCTATATAAAGTCATYTTTTATTAATCCCTTTCTGTTTCTCATAGGGCTGCTTACGTTTCATATGGAGGTTTATTAATGAGATTACAAGGTGATGCTAATAATCTGCATGGAATAGAAGCTGATGATCATCTTTATTTATTAATGAAAAAACTAGCATTTTAGTAGAGAACTTCTTATCRCAAAAATATTTAATGTAAATGCAGTGTTTAACCCTTTTATACTCAAAAACAAAAAACTTAATACTAAAAATGTTCACTYATACAGCATGCAGAAAGCAATAAAAACAAAATAGAAGAGTTAAGAGAAGCACTTCTTGATTGCTTTCAACACTAATAGCTGTTAGTATTATCGAAAAGAGCATGAGGGAAACTGTTTATTCTTTTGTTACATACATAGAAAGAATTATAGTATTGTAGTTTTCAACAATGTTTCCTCATGTTTTTTGCAAAGCTAGCTTCACACCCACTAATGACATCAGCACCGTGCTGCATTTGCCGAAACAGCACAGTGCTTGACCAATCAGTGTGTTTTATGAGGTATACATACCATAGTAAAGTAGTAGTATACCATAGTACAGTATTAGTGTCACAATGCCTTAGTTTGTACTAATATTGTCAGTAATGATAGTCATTCAGTATAAATTGCTCATATTGCTTCATTGTTAGTCATGCCTTATTCTTGGTTCACAAATATTACCAAGACAGGGATATCAACTTAATTAGTTAGTCTAGTTGCAGATGACTGTAAGCAAGTACCAGATATGCACATAATGAATAAACTGCCAATATATTGGTAAAGTGGGCCACAGGCATCCCCTCAAAGTGCCAATGAAAAGGGACACATAATCTTCTAATTTCCAATTTGATCATGGAACAAAAAATAGGTTTGTTAGTCACTGGCTATTTAAAGTGTGACCCTCATAAAACCAGGACTATTTACTTATTTTGTTCTACTTAAAAAACTGAAAAATCAGATTAAGTTCCTGGAGTTCAGTTCAGCAGACAAATAGTATTTGTACAATAATGGTAAAATGATGTGTGCGATGTCAATTTGTGATATATATTGTAATATAGCCCGGAAATTAAACGTGCAACGTAACAATACATTGTGTAATAAAAAGCTGCATGATTYAGCTGCCCATCTTTCTGCAAAACAGAGCGCTTTTCATGTTTCTGCAAATTACAAAATCCGATTTTAGATGCCACATTTCTTCTAGAATTTTGGTTGCCACTTCCTCTCGTATTGAAAACGGATACCGGAAGTAAATGTTCACTTATGTTAATTCACCGAATTAGCATCCACCACACGTCGCCGGCAGAAATTGAAGCGGGTAGGTTTGTAGGGCCCTAAAAAACTTGTGATTCTTTTTCATTTTTGCTATTAAAATTGCCTAGTTATTGGATATTACGTTTTGTTTATTGTATAACCTTAGTATGTGAGTAATTATTAATGCTTGTTTTTGCTTTTAAAATGTATTTTAAAGCTTTTTAGTAGATGTCGAAGACAAAGTTACCGAAAGAACAGGGTAAGATATAATCATTTCCTTTTTTTAACTAATTTGCTATGTATGCGGACTCTATCTGGACGCTATCAAGACTCAATGAAAACTAGCCTTGCTAAACTSGATGTTCCTTTATAAATATTGACTTTAAATAACAATGTAAGTACTTTCTTTTCGTATAGGAGCATTTAAGGAAAATGTAAGAGAAATTCCAGCAAAGGAAGCAGATATCGAAACTACTTTTATTAGGGTTATTTCCAGTTTGTCGGCTCAACTTTTTTAATTTGATCGCTTGAAAATATCCAAATTCGCTTTTGATTGTGACTGACAAGTAGTTTTGAGGTGTAAAAAAGAACCTTTAATTTTTAATTTTACTCCACACCTTACCAACCAAGATGGCTGCTAAACGAGGTAGAGAGGCGCCAACTTAACACATTTTGCAACTCTGACATTTTGCATGATTTCATCGAAATATCAAGCTGGATAAAATGCATGAAAAGATTTTAGAGCTGTATCTTATGATAGTGAACCATGAAGAGTAATTCAGAATTCCTATTTATGCCGAAAATAGGTTTAGTAAAACATTTAATTTTCATATCTGTGTTATGACTATCATACATTACTTTATAAGCTATATGCTGCCATACACAGATGCCTTGCTTATATGGGCTGCCTGTGCACGTAACAAAAGACACCCGCCATTTTGGTCATTATATGGAGTGGGTAGGGGGGGGGGGGAGAATTTGTTACTAAAAAGTGCTGACGATGTCATTGGCGTCCATTGTACAAAACGAACTATCTACATTAAATATGCATATCATATATTGAACCAAATCTATAGCTTGCTCATATGCCGAATATACGGCTTTCAAATAGAACATCTAAACGCTAGAGATTTTACAGAATTAGAGATAAAGAGGTTTTCGAATATTTGAAACCAAATTCAAGAAACATCGATAGCTTGGTCTGCCTGTGCTTTTCTCGCTCATGTTAGGTTAAATCAGTAGGAAAGTGTCCAATACTCCAAAACTATCGTTATTACAATTTATATTATTGGCATGTGTGAGCTGTGAAGAATGTTTACTGGTCATGTTTATCTACTCGGGTCATTTTTATCTCGTGGGTGCAAACAGGGGAGACCTGGCCGGGATGCCTGTGATCCCCCTTTAATTTTCGATGRAGGTGAAACATGCAGAAGAAGTTGGTGTGCAAAGAGATTTGTTTGTGAAGGGTGCAAGCAGGGGATCCCCCTTTTGTCAATGAAGATAAAACATGCTGAAAGTTAGTGGGACGAGATCTATCAATGGTCTCCTTCACAGTTCYCTGCGCCATCTTGAAAGGTAGCCGTGCCTTTGCATCGAAGCGAGACGAACGGTGAGGTTGCGATGATAGAGACCTTTTTTCAACACCTTGGACAATTATTCGCATGTCTCTATCATTGCAAGCTCACCGTTCGTCTCCGCTTCGATGCGATGGCACGGCTACCTTTCAAGATGGCGCAGGGAACTGTGAAGGGGACTATCGTTGGTTTACAACATTCTCATGAGCAAAACAAGCTCTGAAGGCCATGGCGACCATGTTGGTGGTATTTACAAAGGAGGGTAAAGAGAAATCTTTTATTAAGTAGGCCCCAACATGGCGGCGATGAAGTAACTTGCAAAGGAAGTAGGGGATTGAAGTCCTGGAAAGCATCCCCTTCTTTTTATTAAAAATACCCATACAAGAAACGGCTCCCTGTAAGATAAGATTTCTTAAAGTTTTTTTTTTTTTTTTTATTCTCATAAGGATTTCATTAACATGATTGTCTAAAATCCGGCTAGCGTATTTTTTAGGAAAAGGTGTTTAAAAAAAATGTAATTCAGCACCGCCTTCACACACGGCAAATCTATGCTTTGATTTCGTAAAATTTATTATAAAAGTAAAACGGGCGCCGAGAAAAAAATCCTATTTTCAGATTGTTTTTCAATTAAAGTTTTGCAACAGTAATAGCCTCAATCAGTGAAAACTACTGACATTAACACGAATAATTTTCCACAGAAGCAATAGCAAAAGCAACATAGTTTTAGTCCTAGCAGAATCTTCTTATTCGCTCTAACAACACTGAGTTCTCTCTATACCGGCTCCTCTTCAAGTTCAGCAAATAACTGTATTGCTATTACTCTCGATGTTCTCGATGTTCTCCGTCTTCGGAGCCMTTCCCGAAGCGTGTACGGCAGCTTCAACAGTTTCCTGTTTCTTGTCATCTTTCCCTGCATTTTTCTCTTCCTTTTCATCGTCGTCTTTTTCTTCAGTTTCCTCTGTCTTTTCCTTAGTTTCGTCGTCTTTAAAAGCATTCACAATATCTCCAAGAATTTGTTTGACATACAAACAAAGTTCTTTCACGATTTGAGGCGCTTGTTGGACTTTCTTTCTATTCTCGTTGAAAGCCTTGACTTTCTTTGGCAGTGCCATGGTTTCCTTGACACCGCTAACCAATTTCTTGAAATCTTTCAGCGGCTCAATCTTTGTGATATCACTCGCACACGACTCGACCCCGCGTTCTACAACAGGCTCCAAGTCCAACGTTTCTTTGCCACTTGCTTTGATGTCATTTAACGCTTTAACTGCGTTTCTGTAGGGTGCTGGAGGGTCGACACCCTTAACTGAATCCAACTTGATTTCTCCATCCCTTGTGTCAATGTAGATCTGCATCTTGCCTTCTTTAGCTTTTTCTTTTAACTCCTTGATGTAAGCTTTGAATTCCTTCTCGCCATCAAAGTTGCATATTGTTTTGATAGTTTTTTCGAAGGATTCTCTAGCCTGTTGCATCTTATCTCGCGTTGCAACAAACTTATTCAAGGAAGTACCCAGATCTGTGAAGAGCTTGTCTATGTCAGCCAACCCAACTGTCTCCATTTTCAATTGTTTGTGGTAGTCCTCCTTTTCCTTTTTCTTTGCATCCTTTTTATCCTTTTTGGATTTCTTGTCTTTTTCTCTTTCTTCTTTTTTCTTTTTTCCTTTCTGTGCGCTGCTTCCCCTGCCTGCAGCAGCCTCGTCCTCCTTCTCATTGCTGTCCTTGTCCTCGTCTTTGTCCTTTGATTCGTCTTCTCTTCCTCTTGTTCCTACACTCCGAGCCACTGCAGCAGCATTGTCATCATCATTGTCATCATCATCGTTTCTTTTGTCATCCAACACTTCACCTATTTCCTCAACTATAGCCTTCACTTCTTGGCAAAAATCTTTCACCATACTCGGTGCATTCTTCAACTTCTCTATATTACCCTTGAGGTTCTTCTTAAATCTGACTACTTTGCAGATGTCAAAGATTCCAGAAAATTCTCGTTTGATGATGTTCTCAATGTTTTCTAAACTTGATTCTGCATCTTGAATTGATGAGCCGCTGGCTGTCGTCACAACTTCCGGCATCCCTGCTCCAAAAATAAAAAGTGAACATGTTCAATGATATTATCCATCGTAAAATAATGAAGACTTTAATACGTTATTTTGCTTAAGCCCTTCGGTTATGTTGGCCAAATTTAGATCAGTAGTCATTTCAAATGTCTTTATTATTGACTAAATAATAATATTAAAAAAACAAACAAACAAAGGAAACAAAGGAAGGAAGAGTTAAAAAATGAAAGGAGAGAAGTAAGAAAAGGGAAAAACAGGGCGTAAGCGTCCCTTGCCGTGACCGCGATGTTTTCTAGAATAACAATTGGCAAATATTTCTCTCTCGCAATGTGATTGGTCTGGCAGTGGCGTGACCGTGTCCGCCGTGTTTCGGGTATCTGATTGATGGAGAGTAAATTCTCGCTCCATTTGATTGGTCTGAAGTATACTATGCATTGTCACGACCTCGTTCGCGCCGCGAGCTATTTCAACGGTCATATGCAAGCTGCTCTATAGTCGAAATATTTTTAGGACGTGAGAGAGCACACATTTTGGAAGCTGTGTTCCGTGTTAATCACTGCCCTATCGAACGTGCCGAAGTTTGCCACTTTCCGGTTCAAAAAGATCCTGGATTTCTAGGAAAAGCACGCAGAATGATGATACTCATTTGAGTAAACAAACAGGAAACCCTATTACGTGGGAACAAAAGTGGCGGTTTTTTTGGAATTTATACGGTAATTTGTTATTTGCTTTGCTAAGTTTTGCAAAATTAAAACGAAAAACGCAATGCCGCCTGCCTTTTTTTTGGTTCGGCCAATTCCGGGGACCAAACAAAATGGCGGATTTTTGAACTTCGTCCCCCATTTCGGAAATCCTGGCTACGCCATTGGAAAAGGATTCTTTTAAAAGTTTTATCAAGACCGTTAATGACGAGAACAGAGAATTGGTGCTTAAACTCCTGATCACTGTATACATCATATCAGATGCAAAGTCATCTATTGAATAGATCAGTTTCGAGTTCCAAATTACCGCTGTGTTCCTTGATTACAGACTCATTTGCACAGGGTTAGCCTCGTATCAGTGTTTAAATATTCACAAATACCAACAGAAAAGTAAAGAATGCACAACTTCAACAATACAAACATTTTGAAACTCGACGGACCTTGACTGGAACACGTGAATATTCTGCACAAACTCGAGCGGCTAACCCTGTGCAAATGAGTCTGTAATCAAGAAACACAGCGGTAATTTGGAATTCGAAAGGGGTCTATTGCTAGCTTTCCCTCTATATGAGCTAGTACACGCAGAGACATACCAGAACTTCGTCCCTCTCCCGCAACACCTGCCCTCAGCATCTAGTGCTGCTTATGCTCTTCATATATTGTTATGAAACCTTTACCTTTTAAAGTTTCTGCTGTTGCAAGAATGGTCTTGATGGCACTAACGGCATCTTCCACTCCCTTGATTGATCGTCCCGCCAACCCATACACTTCAACAGCACCATTCTTTATCTTGATGAATATTCCTGTATGAAAATTACAAATGATATGAGATTGTACACACACAAATGCTCATCACGTCGAGGCTAGAGTCTCATCCCAATCATTTGCCTCTGACTCATTGGTGAGGGTTGCATTTTGTTCAAATGGGACGTTTGCCGCATGATGGCGTCGTTTGCAGGACTCTTACTACCAGAAACCCTTGCACACTTTTTTTCCATAGTTAATCTAGTTACAGTTGTCTTCGCAAATCGTCATGGTAGTGGGAGTCAAATGGTGTCATATGATCATGAAAACATCCTATTGGATTAGATACTTGAGCTCTCTTACTTTCTTCCTTGAGTTTGGTTTTGAGAGCAACGACGTACTCTCGAAAGCTTGCTTGTGGTCGCACAGCTTGAATAGACTCAACGGCCGTTTTGAACTTTGTAACGGCCAGCTCAAGCTTTTCTCTATCGGTGACGAACGGGTTCAAAGTTCGAGCAAAATCAGAGAAGACACTGTCAAATTCTTGCACTTCAAGTCTTGCAAACTCTAGTTTGGTGGACTTGGTTGGTTTCTTCTTGTTGTCCTGGTTGGAATTCTTCTCTTTTTTTTGATCGCCCATTAGTGGTTCAGTTTCGCCCTTATCGGTCGTATCGGTCTAGTAGGCAAAAAAGACGTTCTGATAAAGATTCGGTTTGAAGGGATTTGTTTGGGGGGTGGGGTTAGAGGTGGGGAGGACTGAGAGACCTGAGAGCCCTGAGAGCCCCAAAAATTGCAAATTTACAACGAAGTATTGAACAGTTCCATAGATCATTACCGTGAAGGAACCACTGCAGGAATCAAACCTTGAGATGGAATTTAAAGATTGGATCAGGGACCGCAATAGGAGTAAAACTTAGGGATCATAAGATTTGAATAGCCTTGTGTTTAAAAATCTCTTCAAAAAGACGAAATCTTGTTCTGAATTTAATTTAGCTTCTCAAAGCAGTATTCTGTACAGAAAGAGTTTTTAAAAGGAAAATAAGGCTTCAAATCTTCCCGTGAGTCGGTGAACAAATTCCATGTTAAGATTAATAAAGTTGGCGACCTTCAATTCCCCGTGGTAGATCGCCTGCACCTTGTTTTAAGTCATTTTTACTTGACAGATTTTTACTTGAAATTTAATAATGCTAGCGCTAGAAAAGATTACAGCTCTACTTTTCGCGGATCGATATTCCTTGTATGACTGATATATGTCTAATCGAACTTATACAGGCTTATTTCACTAAAAAAAATTGCCTTATTGTTGAAGATTTAAATCTAATAAAAAAATGGATTTAAAAAAAAATCTAATGTGGATAAGATGGGATTCAAAAAAATCGATTCCACTGTGCCATACCCCCGAGACATCCGCAGAGCTGAGGCGGCGTATGGACTTCGGACTTGACCACGGCGATTAAATCCTTCTGCCCTTCCAGTTCCATTTATCGTTAAAAATCCTGCTCAATCCATATGATAACACAAACCAAACTTAGAACTCGAACATCTTTCCTGGCAAAGTTTGCTGACAAGAACATTTACTGCACTTAGATCTCTATATCATATGCCCGCAATGGACTAATGGATGGTGCCGTGAAAACTTTTGGGTACTATTACCAGTACCCCAGTAAATAATATAAAATCAAAGGATGGTAAAAAGATGAGAAAATTAATTGGTGATTCTGACTGAGAACATTGGGATATTTGATTTTGTTGAGTCATAGCGCAAAATCAAATTCACAGTTAGTGTGACATAATTGTTTGTTTTATAGCCTAAAAGGGCAGACAGAACCACACTGTAGTTATTTTATATTATGTAGAGAACAACAAGATCGCCTTACACGAGTTAAACGATATCATTATTTTCTGTGAAACCTTCCATTATTTGGCTAAAATTGCAAACTTCATCTGCTGTACTAGGCATCTCTGCATGATACAGACAACCTAGAGAACTCCTATTCTTGTTTCGTGAAGAATGACATCCATGTGATCATGAGCTAATGCATTGAGTAATACGTCACGTTCTTCTGGTATGCATTCTATCCTCCCAATTCAAGAAGACCTCTGGCTCTGCGCTAATTGATAGGTACGGTTTTCTTATGACTAAAGGATGTAGGAGTCTTTATTCGAACGAAGCGAGAATTTGTCGAGCGCGGCGAAGAAGCGAAGAACGGTGCCAGTAGAGATGTGAGAGGGTAAAGCCTATATGTAACGCAACACGTGGCTGAATAGACTGTCAACAAAGGTGACACGGACTGCCAATCTACATACAGCAGAGTGCCAGACTAAATGCAGAAAACCCGAGCTTCAAAACAATCTATTTAGAATATCCTCTGGGATACGTAGGGACCCTGAAACGTTAGCAATTCAAACGTTCAAAGGTTTATGTTTGGCATTATCAATAACGAAAGCAGATCAAGTTATCTCTCACTCGTCATGTGACGTGTGTGTTCACTTCCGCACTTCTGACAAAAAGCAGCCATCTACGAAAACCAGTATCTGTAGGCAGCATGTTTTTAATGATTTTCGATAGCCAATAATTGTATATATTAAAAAATACTTAAATTATTGGTTCAGACATTACTCATTTGCAGCGTGAGCCCGGATAATAGTACCCTGCAAGAAGAGGTTGGTTGTTTTTCTTTCCCTCCGTAGGGTACCCTGGGTTCCAAAGGGATTTTTTCCGTGGATTTACTGACTGACTTAATAATAATAATTTTTCATAATTTTATTACTTATATAGCGCAAAATTCTTTAAAATATATGATCTAATGTGCGCCGCTCTCGGTCATTAAATCCGCGGAAAAAATCCCTCTGAAGCCCAGAGTCCGTAGGGCCGAGCGGAAGGCTAGAAGGGAGGGCAAAAAAAGACCTCTAGTCTGCAAGCAGGGTAGGTAATAGCTCCTAAATGCTGGATAGTCTGTGGTAGGTGACATACGGCGTCTCTTTTTGAAAATGCAGAAAATTCCCGGAACCTGCAATTCTTATTTTTAAAAAACCCTTTTCGACTTGTACCCTCCAACAATGACTTTTGCTTACTGAATCGGTTCCGTACTATATTATTAAACGCTTTTGTTTTTAATATTACAAATCTTTTCAGTTTTCTTGTGCCCCAAACCAGCAGGAGATTTACAGAAGAAATACTTACCTTTCCAAAACAACAAGCCATGTTAAGTTGAGTTCGGAAAAATAGAAGCGTACTCGATGATACTCGAAGTGAAATGAACTTCTACCACTAAACCCACAATGCAAGAGTAAATAATTCTTAGAAAAAATGGTTCCAGTTGTTGGAGCGTGACGTTGCACATTTAATGTAATAAGAGACGTTCATGATTTATTGAAGCGGGTATGTGAGAGAAAAATGGGGGTCTTTGAAATTTGAGTGACCTTGCGAAGTAGGGACTTGAAATAATCGATGCTCCATATATATATACATATAGCTTCCAGCTTTGGTCCATGAGGAAGTCGAGATATACAAGGCTTATCACCGGAAGGGACTGACACAAAGCACGTCCGCAAAAGAAAGGAATTTGGATGGGGTTTACTGACTGACAAATGACATAAAGTTAACTGACAACTCACAAGAAGCCTGAACTTTAACTAACAACTGACAAATAAGCAAAAAAAATTAACTTACAAATAAGCGCATTGGGTTGCCTGTGTTATTGACACTCGTTCCAGTTCTTGAAAGGCGTTCACGTTCTTTTGTGTCCTTTTGTTTACATCGTGCGATGGTCTGCCATTACTGGCGCTTAAAAGGCTCTTGTCCACCAAAGAACACAAGGTAAGCCTTGATTTTTTAGATCTTTGCCACATTTATTGGCTTCTTTGCTTCTTTCTTGATTTGTTTTCCCGCAGAAAGGATTATATAACGCACGCTTTTTACCAAATCCTGTAGTATTCCGACTATATCTATGTATAAGATAGAGGTTAAAAAATGTGAAGCCATGCAGCAAAATAGCCCCTGTACATTTGAATATGATAAAAACACACGTTGTAAATGGGAATTTCTCCCCATAAAAAAAACGTTTAACGTTTCAATGACTAAAATATAGAACACAAAGTTTATGTCGGTTATTAGATTTCATCCGTTCCCTCAAATGGGTTTTACAAAGTGTAACATTCATAAACTATACTTATAATTTTTACTATAAAATACTCTAAAAATAATTTTAGATTAATTGATATTAATCATAGTGAGGTGTTATCATCCAAAATGTTCAGTTATATTTTAGTGAGAAAATCTGTTTATCCATTCAGAAAATTTACCAAGAGCTGACACTGTAATAATATGATAGTGGAATGTGCAATGTGCAATCTAGAGATGCATATATCTCCCCTCTATTTTAGTAAATTACTAACAATCCCACTTTTCCTAAACGGGCAATGTATAGATCAGATTACAGTCAAACCACTTCAAGCRTGAACAYGTAGAGGTCATTAATGACTTTATTTTTGGATTCTTGATTTCATTATTYGATTCGAACATTCAYTATTGAAAGCAAATCTTCAATATTAAAAAAATAATAGTTTGAAAAATTCGATTAACTTGGCTTGTAGGCTCTTGTTTATAGCGCAAACAGAAGGTAAGTCATTAATATTACATATTCCTTGCACAAAAARTTGYTYTTGCATTTCAGCTGCGTATATGCTAGACTTTTGTATATACTAGGCTTTGAAGACTTTGTTTCAATAATGAATGTTCGAATCGAATAATGAAATCAAGAATCCAAAAATAAAGTCATTAATGACCTCTACCTGTTCATACTTGAGGTGGTTTGACTGTAAACAGGAATGGGGTAACTTTGATAGAGCACATGGGGACACCATTCTTATTTTCCTCTCCTCACCCAAAACACACCACAAAACATACATGCACACCACATCACACTCCACTATATTATATATGATGCTTCACAAAACACAGGATGCTAATATTGCACAAGAGACACCTCGTACAATGCACTACAGTATATGGCACCAAATACACTGCACTATGCTACACGTATATACACTACACTATAAACTAAACTGCATTACTCTACACTATATACTACACTAAACTACACTTCACTACACTATAAACTATACTACATTACCCTAGTATACACTACAGTATACATTACACTACACCACATCTATACACTACACAAAACTACACTTCACTACACTGTAAACTATTCTACACAACATAGTACTATACACTACACTATACACTACACTTAACATTACACTACAACACATCCATACACTAYACCACACCAGATCCAATCGGTTAGGCATTGGACTATTGTGTGGGAAGTCATGGATTCAAGCCTTGGCTGGATCTACACTCAGGGTCTAAGCTGAGTAGAAAGTGCTGCCTTTGCTCTGAAAAAATCTGCAAATGGTTAGACCATCGGCTTGGAAGACTTTGTAAAGTAGCAAACACACAACTTTGTCAGTGCTGTTTCAAGTGTCACTCTTTCTTAATAAATTCACCTTTTTGGCGCTAGCCGACACATGGTATGAATTGTGTTGGATTGTGTTATGGTCACCAAGAAGTTTGGACATTCTCGGATTTCAGTACAAATGTACCTATTTACTTGGTTTGTTTTAGTTCTCTAAATACAAGTAAAATATCATTTTTCTAACTTGATTGAAACTTTTCTTATTGCTGTTAAGGCTAGAGCTAACTAAAGAAATTTATTTAAATTTTCTCTTTAATCTCTCAGTGAATTTGTATGGGAATGCGAGAACGATGTCCAAACTTTTTGGTGGCCGTAACACAATCCAACAAAGGGTTTATGATATGATGGCTATCGCCGAAAAGGTGAATTTGATTATTATCATTATTAGTATATGTAATAGGACTCTATGCTGTCCAATTAAGAAATAATTGGACGAGAAAAATTCCAAGGACTGACAAAATTGGATGAGGCCCTAGAGGCCGAGTCCAATTTGGCAGTCAGAGGAATTTTTCGAGTCTAGTTATTTCTTGATTGGGGAGCATGAAATCCCATTACCTATTAATTATATAGCTGCCTAATTAATCCCATATCAACAAAACCTGTCCAATTAAGAAAATAATTGGACAGTTACCTATATGGGATTAATGAAAAGCTGTATTATTATTATTATTATTATTACTACACTACATTCTGCTAATATAAATTATATTCCCTTTCTTAATTAAACGATTTCTGTTTCTATTTTTGTCTGAGCATTAATGGTTAATGTTATATATTTTTCATGATTAATAAATTTCTCCATTTCTTTTTACAGACAGGTTAACCAGATTATGTTTTGTTGTATGTGATTAATGACCCTGGAGACCAAGTCCAAACTTTTTAAGCAAAAATGGAGAAAAGTTGGTATTCATTTAAGACCAAAGGTGGCATAACTTTATTTTACTACAACTCTGATTCAGGAGAACACAGATGGGCAAGCAGCTTTGAACCTTTACAGGTGATGAGAAATAACTTTTAATATTATGTACTAAGCCACAGAAACAGCAAATCAAACCGAAAAGAGAGATATAGTTTAGTCAATGCCCCCAATAATTTTGCCACAATATTTTGAATTACTTGTTCGCAGTTTAAAATATCAATAGCCAATGCAATAAATATGTTGTAAATGCCCCTCAAAACACTTAGTAGAAATTGAAATTCAAAGGGTGACAGTTTAAAACTTTTTGGGTGTGGCCTGCCCCTGAATCCCTCCAGGTGTTCCTGTCTTTGGCTGTTTTAGCCCCCCATTAAAAATCATTCTCAGTGGCCCCTGCCATTATTGCTGGATGCTAATAAGTGAAACGTTTACATGTATCAGTAATTCGAATGAGATTTTCCATACATTTTTATGTAGCTTTTTTCCTTTTATCTTCCACCATGTGGGTGCTGTTGAATTGAAGAATATCATTGGGAGGGGTATGGCAAAGTTTTTAAGCCTCTTCTCTCATGACAATATCAGGATGATAGGAATTATCTCTCCTAGTTCAATGCCTCTGCTTTGCCCTGCTCATCCTCATGGTAAAAAATAAATAAGGGAACTTTTTTGATGGACTGGTGTAGTGTCCATCAAGGCTGCATGCTTATTGGCAGTTAAGTCTAAGATATAAGGTTAAATCACAAAATTATTATAATTAAAAAATGGAAAGTATATTTTTACTGATTTCTTAATTCATTCATATTTAGGAATCATTTTTAGATTTTTTTTTTTTTTTTTTTTTGGATCAAAAAAAAAAAACAAAGCAAAATTGACTTGTAATGACAACAAATTCTAGCCATCTTAAACAGAATGCTGGAATCCTTAACTATGAAAGAGCCCTGCACATACTTTGCCGAAGCATTATTGTTTGGTCTACCATTTACTTATCTATGCTAAAATACAGGCCACTTTGGCTGAAATTGAATTTTAATTCTTTATTTTAGCTTGATTTTGGGACCTTTTTTTGTTGAAGGTCTTCCTAAGATCAAGTAGTCAATGCCGGGCAACTGAATTACTACTAGAGTGGTTTTCATAAACCTGTGAAATACACTTTAACATATTTAATACTATTACACTCTAATTCTTTTGTTTTCTATTGTACTTATCTGACTATTACACTCTAATTAGTACACTTTGTTTCATGGGTTTATGAAAATTACGCTAACTAAGCAATCATAACAGAATTACTGTCTACTGATGATGTCTCTTATACAAGAATTTTTTTCCCCCAGGAAGAAAGTATAGAGTGATAATTTGAATAATAATAATATAGTATTGAAATTTTTGTGGAGACAGGGAGCTCTAGACAGATAATATTATCAAGTTCACGATGGGAAAAGAAAGAAATTTAATTTTAAATGCCAGAATTTTCCCAGTTATTAAAAAATCATACCCCTCCCAATGATATTCTTCAATTCACCAGCACCCACATGGTGGTTGATTAAAGGGAAAAAAGCTACATAAAAATGTATGGAAAATCTCATTTGAATTACTGGTAAATGTATTAATGTCATTCATATAATAAAGACTTTCACTTATTAGCATCCAGCAATGGCAGGGGCCGCTAAGAATAACTTTGATTGGGGGCTAAAACAGCCAAGAATTTGTGGTCTCAAAAGGATGGCGGGAAGGAGGATTGTATCACCTTGTGTAAGGAAGCCAAGAAGAAAGACGCATATGGAAGAGTATATGTGCTTCCATCGTCACTTTTGTATCCTCGTTCTTCGTCAAATCTATTAAATGAATATTTCTCTATAATAGCTTTTAATATCTTGATAATGTTTTGGTTGGTAAAGGTGGTGTAGCGGTAGAGCTTTTCCTACTGTATATGAGTCCTACCAGTTGGGTTGCTGTTTTGATTCCTGCCGCTGCCAGTATTTGAGTTTGTTTGATTTGTTGTTCTCTCCCTTGCTAAGAGGGTTTTTTTTCACAATATGGTAGTGGTAGTGATTGTCGTACAAGTAAATATTAACCTCTGATTTTCAGAGATATTTATTTTAAATCAGTCGGTAATGCATGCACATTTGTTTTTTGATCTTGTTTTAGTGCACGAAAGTTCAACCAGAAGAAGTGCCACTCATAAAGATGTGTAAAAACGGCTACAAGATGCCGAAGAAAAAACAGAAAACTTATAAATCAACAGGAACAGAAACAGAGGAGTATATCCTGGTACAATATACTACGAGTAAGTCTGTTAGAGATATAGGCATCAATGCTGTTGCAAGGAACGTTTTCAGCTCGTTTGATGATGATGATGACATAGCTGAACCTGTTTCTCGGAGTTTTTTTGCTTCATCAACAAGAAGCCCCTTTGCTTCAGACCAACCACTTTCCAAAACGCAAGAAATTGTTGAACAAGTGCCGGATATTGGTCCAAACGAGGGATCCCTTGTCGATAACCTGTTTGCAATGGAGTTCTCGTCAGCTCTTTCTACCGAGGACAAACTAAAAGGAGATTCGTGTAATAAGTTTAGGCAATTGCAAAAGTCTGCAGGTGAACCAGAAAATAGGTTGCCATCGGTGCTTCAACGCGTTGATTCACTTGTGGTGTCAGAATCTATTCAAGTGCCGACTTTTTCTGGATATTCTTATTCAACGAACGAGGAAGGTGTAGAAAATGAAGTAGTTAATGCAGATAGGATAGAAAATGAAAATGACTCACCAAAGGGGTGCTATTTAGGACTGAGAGTTGGAAAAGAAGGAAGAATATACGTAAAATCCGAACCTGATGATGAACAACTCGAGCAAGAAATTAAAGACGAAACCAATTGCAAAATAAAACAAGAAATATGCCAAGATGATGATGATGGTGGTGGTGATGATGGTGATGGTGATGGTGATGGTGATGTGGCAAAGTTCAGTATTTTAGATTTTCTTCCAGATCATCCTGCCAATGAAGATGGCGGCAGCAACAGCAAGAGATACCCGATTAAATGCGATAAATGCGACAAATCATTCAAAAAAGTGTCGCATTTGAAACGTCACATGTTAATTCATACGAACAGCAAGCCTTACTCGTGTAAAATCTGTAGCAAGAGCTTTCGAGAAGCGAATTGCCTGAAGAAGCACATCCGAATCCATACTGGTGAAAAACCTTACAATTGTTCGATTTGTGACAAAGCGTTTTCTCAGTCACAGAACCTGAACAAACATATGAATATTCACACGGGAAATAAACCCCACAAGTGCAAAGCATGTGGAAAAGCATTTTCGCAGCATAGTCACTTGGCAAGACACAAACTCATTCATACGGGAGAAAAGCCGCATCAATGTACTAAATGTGGAAAGGCGTATAGAACATCTAGCCATCTTGTACGACATCAGAAATCTAGTAATCATTAGGAAGAAATTAATAAAGGGCTGATTTTGAAAAATATGAGAGGATATGGGGTACAATACATCTTAGTATTGGAAGCAAAGGGCTTATCTTTGAAAGGCGTTCGCGTCATTTTACTTGCATGCCATCTTCACTAGAAGCAAGCAGCTTGGGCAAATATAGGATACTGGAAGGTGGTCATCTTATTGGAAGCAAAAGTCTTGCCTTTGCCCGGGAAGGAGTTTGAGTCATCTTGCATGCCATCTTCATTGGAAACAAAGTGCTTGCCTTTGGAAGGAGATCGCAGGGTGATGAATTAAGACATCTGGTCATCTTGCATGCCATCTTCATTGGAAACAAAGTGCTTGCCTTTGGAAGGAGATCGCAGGGTGATGAATTAAAACATCTGGTCATCTTGCATGCCATCTTCACTGGAAACAAAGTGCTTGCCTTTGGAAGGAGATCGCAGGGTGATGAATTAAGACATCTGGTCATCTTGCATGCCATCTTTATTGGAAACAAAGTGCTTGCCTTTGGAAGGAGATCGCAGGGCGATGAATTAAGACATCTGGTCATCTTGCATGCCATCTTCATTGGAAACAAAGTGTTTGCCTTTGGAAGGAGATCGCAGGTCGATGAATTAAGACATCTGGTCATCTTGCATGCCATCGTCATTGGAAACAAA